CGGGACCGGCCAGCGGTCAGGCGGGGCGGTGGCGCGGCGGCGGCCACACGCTCAGAACGCAGCGCCGTGCTCCAGCCGTGAGGCGGGGCGGCGGCGGCACGCCCAGAGCACGGCCGGTGCTCCACCGGTCAGGCGGGGCGGCCGTGGCACGTCCAGAGCGCGGCCGGTGCTCCCCCGGTCAGGCGGGGTGGCGGTGGCACGTCCAGAGCATGGCGCCGTGTTCAGGCGGGGCGGCGGTGGCACGTCCAGAGCATGGCGCCGTGTTCAGGCGGGGCGACGGTGGCACGCCCAGAGCGCGGCCGGTGCTCCCCCGGTCAGGCGGGGTGGCGGTGGCACGTCCAGAGCACGGCGCCGTGTTCAGGCGGGGCGGCGGTGGCACGTCCAGAGCATGGCGCCGTGTTCAGGCGGGGCGACGGTGGCACGCCCAGAGCGCGGCCGGTGCTGCCCCGGTCAGGCGGGGTGGCGGTGGCACGTCCAGAGCACGGCGCCGTGTTCAGGCGGGGTGGTAGCGGCACACCGAGAACACGGCGCCGTGCTCCACCGGTCAATGGGGCCGCGCAGTCACCGGTCGGTCGCCGACTACACAGACACCGGCGATGAGACGGGCCAGACAGCAGCAGGCCACGGCTCATAGCCGTCCAAGTTGGGCGTCTGAGGTGCTCACTTTGAAGAAAATCTTAAGCCCAACGGACATAAAACTGGTTTCGAAGCAGGGCCAGCCCAAATTAAGATCATAAATGGATCCACACCCTGAGTTTAAATAAAGCGCGACTATAAACGCTACTAGACGTCAGGAATAATGTTTACACCATATAGCCAACACCGAGCAGAAGGGCGCTGACATAACTCTGCGAATCACCTGTTTCGGGGCCTCTCGTAGACGTCATAGTCGGCCAATGGGATGGCGGTCTGGCCGAGGAACTCGTCCACGCCCAGTACGTTACGATGCAGGACGGTCAGCTGTATGCGGGCCGTGTTGCCCTGGCTGGGGATGGCGCTGCGGCAGACCAGGCCGTCCGATCTGGCTCAGCCGGAACCGATCGCCTCGTCACGCCCCGCGCCGTCTCCCCAACACGACACGGGCCACCCTCCCCCCCCCTCCCCCATCAGTCAGCTGGGCCGTGGACGCAGGAAGCTGCGGAGCCACGCGAGTAACACCGGAGCTCGCGATGAGGGGGCGCTGGGCACGCAATAATGCAACTGAAAACATCCAGCAGGTCTCTCTCCCCCGGACATCGTACCTCACAGCTGGCATGAGGACCGTCAGCTGGTGGGTTTGAGGCCGACGAATGTCAGTGCAAAAAGGCGAAGCGATGGATTGCGACGTCAGTGACTGACGATGTTACAGACTCGCGTCATGCCGCAACCCAGACTTACGTGCAGCGTGGCTTCACTTAACGGAAGTCGTCTACGGCCTTCTGAACTTGTTGTTCACTGCGTGCCGACTTTGCAAAAAATGTGCGCTAGGTCTCCTCCCACACCATAAGAATGTTGCCACACACACGCACGCACGCACTCACGCACGCATATTCAACGTTTCGCATTGAAGTGCGGCAGTGCGGCGTGAGATGTTGAAGTCAGTAAAGCTTATCAGTTAATTTATATGTATATATATATATATATATATATATATATATATATATATATATATATACATATATACATATAATTCCAGGGCACCATTGGTGTGGGACGGAGGGGGGCATCAGGCCGGTACGAGGAGCCGCCGTCGCCGTCGTCCCGGCCGGTGAAGTCTCACCCGCAGCCGTGCCCCACTGCACACCACAGGCAGCGCCCGCCCGTGTCCAGGTACCGACGCCGGTCAGCTCGAGGTCAGGTCAGCACGGCGGCGCCGGCGGCGGCACTGGACGTCGCCCAGCGCGCGGCTCCGGCCGTGTCAGGGCCACCCTCAGCCGTCCCCTGCCTGACGCAACAGCACGGCAGCCTCCTCGACATGTAAAGCCCGGATCAGGCGCCCGTAGAGGTGCGGCCCGGCAATTGCGCCGAAAACTGGCGTATGACATGGCGCCGCCGACGGCCTGCAGATGGGCCGCTGATGTCATCCGGAGCGCGTGACAAATGACAAATGAGGCCGCACGAAAGCAGCTACGGAGAAATGCCGCTGAAACCGGGCCAGCGCGGACTTCTGCCGGAAACCAGGTGATGCCGGCTGAGTAACCGAACGTCACCCGGAAACGCAGCCGAGCGGCGACGGTCCGAACCCGTCCCCCGAGGTACTTGAGCGCAAGAAAAATGCTTGGCCACTCAGGTGATGTCATCGGCTGAAGCCGCGATAGTGAGGCATCCGATTTCCGCCTCGCGAGGCACGCAGAGCGGTGGGTCTCGTGCGAGGCACGCAGGCCGGCGGGCCTCGCGCGAGGCACGCAGACCGGTGGGTCTCGAGCGAGACACGCAGGCCGGTGGGTCTCAAGCGGGACACGCAGACCGGTGGATCTCGAGCGAGGCACGCAGGCCGGTGGGTCTCGAGCGAGGCACGCAGACTGGTGGGTCTCGCGCAAAGCACGCAGACCGGTGGGTCTCGAGCGAGGCACGCAGACTGGCGGGTCTCGTGCGAGGCACGCAGACCGGTGGGTCTCGCGCGAGGCACGCAGACCGGTGGGTCTCGAGCGAGGCACGCAGACCGGTAGGTCTCGAGCGATGCACTCGCGGAACACAGCGGGCTCGAACGCCGCCTGGCACCGCCAGAGATGACGCGCTACTCGTGTCCACACGATTTCCATTATTATCATTAAATAATTATTATCAAACAGGTGTGGCAACCGACACCGGTCCTCTCCCCAGAGCGTTAAGCTTGAGTGTGTTCTTGACTGGAAGGTCCAGTCCCGGCCCGGCCCGGCGGCGCGGGCCGGGGGTTAAGGGCGTCGCTGCGCGGATGTCATGGCGTCATGTCTCGGCAAACGCCGCGAAACATTCACGGCTACGAATTCATGTAATAGTAAAAGCAGTGATGTGTGATGAACACGTGAGCACATCCCAAAGCTCATAGTTGCATCTTGCCACAAAAGCCCCCCCCCCCCCCTTTGTTCTGGTTCGGATGTCATTGAAACATAATTTCACTTTGAACGAGCCGCGTGTGAGCGATCAACACACATCTATATATGCCTGACAGTTAAGTGATTGTATTTCCTCTCAGCCTTGTCTAACGTAAAACTCATTGTTTCGATAGCATCGTAGCCGCGACACATGGCACGATGCCGATAAGTATAAGTGCCCCGAGACGTATCTGCAAGCTGCTCGCGCAGCGTGGAATAATTTGTGCATGCTCCGCATCATTCTTGGATCACATTCCAAACAAGGACAAAGATGTTAAATACGTTAAAAACAATATGTGCAGAAGTGCGGCGCACCTGAACCGGTCACATCATGTACGTCAAATTGAAAGGGCATCTCGAGCAACGACGACTTTTGCCGATTCACCCGATTATACGGCACGCGTCCCCCTTTCCAGCTACCGATCACAAAAGTTGACATAAGACAGGGGCACAGAGCACAGTTTCTAGAAACCTCCAGGCTAATTGTGCACCATTGCTATAAATGCCACCTTAAGCCAATCTAAAAACTGACATGAGGCAGCAGCAAAAAACGTAATTTCTAGAAACCTCGAGGCTAATTGTGTTTAAAAATTCGATTGCTACAGAGGTCATATCATGTCTAAAGACGCCAGCCAAAAGATACGCCGAAACCGAGGGAAGACATCAATGTGTTGTTGCAATGGTCAGTCCGTCCAAAATATGCAAATATGTCAAGAGACTACACTATCCTTACGGCAAATATTTGCATGCTCCGGTCATATTGTATGCGATAGGACGGACAATTACGGACTGAAACTGGATGACATATTTCAACTGTTTGTCCACATCAGAAGGCAAGCAGACTAAAGTAACACGCACGTATGCCAACAAGCCCCCTGATGCGGCGCCGACTACGGGGAGGGGCGTCCTCTTTCCAGGTGACAGCTGGCAGGCAGGGCTATACACCGGTACCTCTTTACGACACGAAGCCTCCGCTGGAATCTGTTGGTCTCTAATTACGAGCGGTACGCGGAGGCTCCGGGGCAAAAGACGGCGCTTCAATTGACACATCGGTCGGGAGAGACCAGTCAGGCCGACTGAAGCACCGTTTTTTCCCGGAACCGTGATGTTCACGTGCACAAAGCACGCGGGGCGCAGAGCCACACACCGAGGTACTCACAGTTCACATTCTTCGCGCCATTCAATGTTGGGCGGTGATTTTTCCTTCACCGACGTCTGGTACTTTTCCTTTCCCAGACTCATTACCACGAAACAGTTATTAGTCCCTGCGAACAAATGCATCGATCAATTTACTATGACAATTGTACATACGTCCATGCTTCTGTCGTATATACAACAATACGGGTCAGCTCGTTAAACACTTCATGACAATGATATCTACAAACACACATTGGTGGCCCAAAGAGACCGTAAATGCCTTAAGAAAAGAGGGTTCAGGAAAAAGTTTGGCGGTCTATGGCCATGGGCGAGAGTGTTTGCCCTGGACTGGGGGTGGGGGGAAGGGTGAGTGTTGGAGAGTCCCACAGGCACTTTAAGTTGTTTCTTGTCACATATGACGATAAGCCAAGAAATACATTTTCACAAATGTTGGGGGGGAGGGTGAGAAGAGGGCTCGAGCCCTCCAAAAATGTTTCTACCATAGCGCGATAATTCCGCGCCCATGCCTACGGCGTGTTGGCGTTCTTTACACTTGAGCTCAAATGCCTTATCCACAACACAAATGAGTTTTATTGGGATCATTAAAATATTGTGCTTGCCCCAATCTGTGACACAATCGATGGCATCTACGTCAACAAAGGCAATTCGCCTTCAGCGAACAGTGAAGTTCGCTGAAGTTGATGGGTCTGCCGGTTACCGTTCAAACCAGAGCAACAGGTTGACTGGCTACGAAAACAGAGACGTGGGCACACACAGACCGGCGCATTACGTGTGGGGAGCATCCTAGTGGCAATGAGTGTGGATTGAGCACCGCCCATGTCCTGCCCGTACGTGCCCATGGCCCGCTGTCGGCCGCCCGTGGCCACGAGTCGACGACGACGTAGGCGACGGTAACGAGCCAAAATTCAGAAACGGACCACCCCTAGGTGGTTGGATTCCCTCCCCGTCGTTCGGCGCCAAACGTCGGCCGAAAGCAGGTATGCACGGGCGCCGTGCATATTTATCTCCACTCAGTGACCACACTCTGATGGTAAGCACATGGGTACATACGTGTATGCATGGTGCAAAAACCGCAAGTTTGCGAACTACCTGTGGAATTTGCAACCTTCCTGGTAAGCCAGGTACTTTTCAAAGTCCCTAATGAGTTTACAAAACCCTGGGTGGCTCGCCAATTCGTGAAATCTCTGGACGACTTGCTTTTGGACATCCGTGGTGCAAATATAGCTTTATGTTGGAGTATCTTGCAGCTGTATCGGACAAAAATCAGCCGCACTTCTGAATGTCGTCATCGATATCCGTCCCGATGGCTCAGTTGGTTAGTGCGCCTGCCTTCCGATCCACCCATCCGTGGCGGGGTGGATTCGAGTCGCCTCAGGCGCTGCTGTTTGCCTTTGACAGGCATGGCCTGCGGTCGGTGGCACCGGTCGCGCTAAAGGTCAGGTGACATCAGAGGGCAGGACGGACCGTGCCGAACATTGCGGCACACTAAACATTCGCTACCAAGTTCTGCTGCTGACGTGGGATTGCGCGATGTGATGGTAGGGGTCAGAGCTCAGACAACGAGCATGATTGGCGTGCGCTCTGATCCCAGAACTACACCCATTCAGAAAGTCCCGATTACTTTTTCAGATTGAAAGCTGTTCACATTTGATCCAACAAAAACCATTCTCTGTCCTCACAATATTTCATCTATACAACACGGACACAAACCAAAAGATCGGGACGAGAGACCCGCTCAATGTATCGAGACTTGCATTCTGCGCATCCCTTAGTCATCCGGCGGCTTTCATGAAGATGTCGTGAAGACTTCGTGAAGATCACGCGCTCAGCCCAGCAGATAATCACGTATTGAATAGGCACAGAAAATATAAATATTGCTCTTGGACCACCCTCTTGCCGTAGGGCTATGAATTGGGCATTTATAAACGCCAAATGAACTGTAATATTCTGCGTAAAGTCTCTTTTTCTTGGTGCGGGTCAGAATGCAACGCAGTTCAGGAGCTGCGTGACAGGTTTGCGAGTGTGATAGTCGTTGAGGTGCAGCCGCCATTAAAAAACCCAGCGCGTCAGCAAAGTTTTTTGCGTTTTTTCTCGTTTGGGAGCAATAATGAGGGCTGTTGGTATTGGTATCTAACCGGTTTGAAAGAAACCTGGCTGACCATTTCCGTTCCAAGGTTTGTGGAATGCCATCGGGCACCTTACTATAGAACAGCCTTCTTCAGGCTATTGTAGCTAACGAAAACATCGTGGACCACAATATTCTGGCATTTGATACATGGCCGGAATATAGGAAGTGTTTGCGATTGAGGCAATTATTTTTCACCATATGCGCTATTTACGGATTCATTGCATAATGTTCCTACCAAACACATAATAAAGTTGCTATGTGGGATGAAAACAGAGCGAAAAATCCCCACTGCTGAACCAGGCCGTGCCCTGGGTCGGCATTGGAGACACAACAGGTGCCCAAACACAAACTAGAAATCCCCAAAAAGGCATCAACACAAAAAAAAACTTCAAGCGGAACAGTACCGAGAACATGATCCAGTTCATTGCGCCACGGCACGTTTTTGGCCTACCTAACATGTACCGGTCTACCTGAATTTTGTTATTGCCTGCATTTACTTGCATGCACCTACGCATGTGTATGTACGTTTGTAACTATAGGCATTAATGCAAGCCAACATTTTGAGCTGGTCACATACCCACCGCACCCTCCTTTGAATGTTTAACAGTTTATAGCCATTCAACGAGAATGTGACATTTAAGCCTCTTTTTGAAAAGGACCTCAATATTTCGCAAGCAGCCTGAGAGTTTGCAAACTTCATGAAAGGTTTGCAAAGTTCGTGACCAGCCAAGGAGTTTGCAAATGGCCTAAGTAGTTCGCTAACTCCCGGGTTGTCCATGCCCCCACGCGCGCAGGTATCTTATATATATATATATATATATATATATATATATATATATATATATATGCACAGCACTATGCATTTATGATTGTGCAGTGTGCACATCAAGTACGCACTGCACACCTCAAGGCCATGAATGGAGGGGCCAGACTTCATGTCAATGCATAACCCGCCCCCGGTCGGGGGAGGACAAGTTGACTTCCCTTAAGTTTTCCAAGCACAGTTCAAGCATGAACGCTCTCAGCGATACATTATTTTAAGTACCTGTTCGTCAAGTAATTTGGCATCCTATATACAAAACCAAAATCAGTGACGTAGGTCAGGTCGAATAGGTCAACCTCTAAAAAACTTTGATGGCGTATAACCTCGCTGTGGGTCACTTACATTGCCCAAATTTCCTTTAGTAATAAAACAGAATGATCCCTGCACTTTTTATATTTAAGATTTCTAAACTGGCGAGGTCAGTGACCATAAACAGGTCAATTTTTGGTATTTTCCGTAAATGAGGCAAATTTGCACATATTTTTGAAAGTTTTGGTGTTTGTTTAAGAGAAAAGAAGCACTAACTCACATGCACAACAATCATATCACCACAGGGTACATGACCTTGGTCCAGGTAATGACCTACCTCTTTGGGTGCCCTTTGCAAAATACATACTGATCTCAAAATAGGCGGTTTTATGGGGTAATTTTGGACGCAGAATTCGAATACTCAACTGAAAACGTGTTGTGATGTCCTCATGACATCATACATTTTAAAGCATAAAGAGGTCGCAATAGGTCATTCAAAGTCATGAAAGGTCACATGAGCTCATCAGAGGTCAATGGCCTATGTTTTCAGTAGCAGAGAGACTTGATAACGAGTGCGGCGCGTGTAACCACCTCCTTATCGTGTTTGTGAAGGTGATGACGCATAATTTCAAGTACCATCTTGCCTGTTCTCAGTTTTGTTACAAAAATGTTACCAACCGTCGAAGGGACTACGCATTATGTCGACAGCAGTTATGCCATCTTGAGTACCTGTAGATGTTCAACACACTAAATCTGACCACAGAAAAGCATACACAGATCCCATTAGCACTCGTTTTTTTCATTTCATTGGTTTATGAAATTGGCCGAGCTGACCTCAGATGATCTCCAGGTCAGCCTAAAATGGTAATGTTGTGTCTGGAACACTCTTGCCCCACAGCTGCCCTGAACAAAACAAACTTAGTCAGAAGCACACTGAGAAAAAGCATCGGTCTTGTACGCTACTGGAGGACCAACTTTGAATGGTGACATGATATGACCTTACCCTCGTGGGGAACGATAAAGGGTCAGCATGGACTCTCAACAGTCTTAACGCTTATTTCCGTGTGCTCAATATCTGTCTTGATGTGTTCACAAAGGCGCCAACCGCACCTAAAAAAAAAACGCTTTTGACCTTCCGTGAGCTCTGGTGATCTCATATTAAACCAAGGCCAACAATTTTGCGTGCATTTCTCATGATTTGACAATACCTTCAAAACGGCATCTCTGTTTTTGTTATCCGACATCTGGAAGTTGGAGATCCCAGAAAGGGAGCTAACTCCCCCCCCCCCCCCCTCCCGGCCGGGCACGGTTGTCTCAGACCCCCTTACCGGGCGCAGGAAAAGCCTAGTGTCCGGCATTCTCTCGAGATTAAAATAGCATCAGTCGATTTACTCAATGATCCGACCAAGACGCTAAGCCCCTCTTGCGCAATGTTTTCCTGGGACAAACGTCATCACCTGATAAATGCGCACAATCTACCGGCCTGAGGTCCGTGCTGCTCTTCCAGTCCAATCGCCGACAAGAATTCGCCATCACCAAGGTCGTCCGCTCCGCGCAATCAACACATTCCAGTAACTGGACCCTTAGATGACTAGATTGCATGCCTGACCAAAACTGGGTCATAGCAAAATTCAGGTTTTAATTTAAATTTCCCGCGCCGCTGATCCGCGAAAATTGCGAGCTGGTTTAGAGTTTGTTCATCCTTTACACCGGTGCTGCTCTTGCGCAACATCTATAAGGTGTATCAAGCACCTAATCCCAGCTAAAAACGGAAGGCGATCTGCAATGACAAAACGCAAACCGCTTGGGGAACGGGGAAACAAACACAACACAACACTCACCATGTTTGCCCTTGGCCAGCAGATTTCTGGCTTGTTGCACGGTGAGCTGGACATGGGTGGGCATCCACATATTGGCTCACTCAATCAGCAGCACTTGGAGGACGGAATCTGAAAGTATATCCAGTATTCATATATATATATATATATATATATATATATATATATATATATATAAAGGATCATGTCACTGGCACACACACGGTGCATTCTCCATTCATCGTATCGGTATTACCTGCGAGGCGTAACCAGCATTTACCTCACTAACCGATTTGGTAAAACTAGGAGGCCACACTCGTGGCATGCTTCAGCCCGACATCTATTCAGCGGGCTATAATGTTCATAACTAAACAACAAAAAAACTGGTGTATATTTGGTTTGTTGCATGCCGAATAACGAAAAAAGGTCATATTGCAATGCAGCACTGTGAAATCACCGCCCGTTAACAGCGTTACACGGAGCATGCTGGGACCAGCCAGACTTTCGTGACTGGTCCTACCCCGAAAAATTGTCGACCGTTCTTAAAAGTGAGGAAACATTCGCATCCTTAGACGTACTTTCGGTCACAACAAACACGGCGCAGCCCAGAACCGCCACTCCTAGGAGTTTTGTTTCGGCTCACGGCACCGCAACACATATCCTGTCCATACGTAATGCGTCACTCGTGGAGAAAATCTGCCCGAAAGCTACCAAATGAGAGTTTTGTGCTGGCCCCCAGATGCACGAAATACCAAACATAAATGGCATACGCCGCTGCGGGTGCGCGGTAAGCATCATTATTATCTCTTTTTTACAAAGATAGGAGGCTATGAGAGCTCGCCCATTGGCTGTGCGGCTTAACCAATGACGTCATGATCGCTTGGGCGAGTCCATTTTGCACATGAGGAGAAATTTTGTAGGCTCGACGGATTTCGGCCGGCTTCGGCCGTCTCTCTTCGCCGGCGGGGAGCCATTGACGACGTTTTCATTTGGCGTCGGGGATTCTGGGACTCTCAGCGTACACTACCTCGAACAATAATAAGCTCGATCATTCATTGACTTCTAAAAAAGGACCCTTTGGTGTCATGTGGTTCGTAGTTTTGCAATTCACCAGCATTCCTGGTGTAATAAATCATACAGAGGTTGACAAATATCTGGTTGCCGACATCACACTACCCGAAGTTTATTTTCTAAATGTCCGTAATGAAAACAAAGGAGAGTGTTCCAAGTCTCGGTGCGCCAACGTTCGCCGTTATCATGTGTTCCATGTTCATACCGATAGAGGTTGCATGAAACCCTCCTCGAACGGTGCGGTTTCATTAATGATGCCCAAGCACGAGCCAAAGCTTTTGGCAGCAACTATGCGAGCATGCATGTATGCGCGCCAATAAGCAAGCTCTCATAGCTTCCTAGCACTGGAAAAAATGACGCCTCCGACGACTGCATGCAGATGAATTGACCCTGGTTCGAATCGCTGCAATTCCAAGGAGAGAAGTTGGGCTGTGATGCACACATGGCCGAGAGCCTAACGTCATTCCCAGGACTCCAAACACCTGACGACGGCCGGAGAACCAACTGGTCTAAACGTGGCGCAATTCTAACACACCAGGCCAGCCAAATGGTCTGAATAATCGCTCACTCCGCGGTACTCATACCTCGTCTCGATCCTTCCGTAAAACGCCTGCGATTGGGACGGCGATTGTAACCTTCCCCCATCGCAAATCCTGGTAGCCCCCTCCCGTCTGAAATTTTGGCTGCGCCCATGGCGTGAATGGATGGCAAGATGCATCCGATTTCTGCATTCAGTCGTTTCTTTGCAGTTCACACTGCAATCTAGTCGCAATGGCACGTGGTCGGAAATAGGCTTGTGGGTAGATGTGTGACCACAGCCCGGGTGCCTAGCAGGTGCTATTACAGTCACACGGGGACCCCCAGAGGGATTATTCATGCATCAGTCGCGTTCATGATGCGGCAGGCACTCCGACCTAGGCATCTGGCTCAGGATCAATGCAGGGATTGTCACTGACGCAAAAGGATCATTTAACGGTCAGAGAGTCCCAAAACTCGGTGTCACACGACATTGGTTGCGAAACTTGGCGTCACATGGCGGAGGCACCACGTGCTTTCGTTGGCTTTGATTTTATGCAAAGGGGCAACGTTCATAACATCCTTTATCCAGCCCGCTGATACACAATCTTGTCGCGCAAGTAAGAGCGGACGTCATTCCAGGGCATTTTTTATGCCGTTGAGCGCCCAAAGTCGCCTCGTCCCAAAAAGACGTCACGTTGCATCTTTTTCTGCGATCATTTTCATGAATGGTTTTAACAAACAGGTTGTGAAACGAGGTGCATGCGGAATTCACCTCGTCGCCGCTTTTCCCCGAGACTCGACTGGACGACTAGAGACAAGACAACGAGGATAGGGGGGCTCGGAATCGTTACCAACATCGAGCCAAAATCTTGTGAACAAAAGCGCCCGAGCAGCGACTAGGACACTGCGTGGTCGGTGCTCGAGACATTATTCAATAAAAGGACCGAAAGTTCGGGACCAACACCGACACACGATCGCTGCAAATCAAACACTAACTGACGATGGCGTGTGTACGCCGCATACCAGCTGTGAACACCGGACGCTAAAGAATTCTGCGGTTCTAGCTCATCCTGTTACCCCGTTACCTGTACAGTATTTTCTGAGAGTTGGCGTGTTAGGGGGGGGGGGGGGGGCGGGGAAGTGTGTGTGGGGAAAGGATCTCCGCGTGTGGCTGGGGGACCCGGTGCTGTGCGCCAGTTAATGTGTATGCGTACAACAGCAATACCGCAGCCCAGGAAAAGTACGCTCACCGGTAGAGTGCGGACTGTCCGAGGACTCATTGGGTTACAGCCAATGAGCAGAAGACCGGACATTCAGCGCCAGCGGCGAGGGCACACCAGTGTCTTCCATGTGCACATCACGTCGGACAATTTCAGTACGCGTCGGCTTACCAGCTGCCCGTCTACGTTGCTGCATCAAAAACACCGCCATCTAAATCGAGGAATGGGCTTCGGCGGAATGAAAGACTTGCGTGCGTTGCGTTCACCACTCGCACGTGCACCCCGGACCTACATAACCGCACGGCGGATGGTGCCCGCTAGGCACCTGCACGCGTTGTAAAATTGGCAATCATGATTCGCCGTATCGCCGACCCGGAGTTGCCCCGGTTTGAAACGACGCACGAACTTGACCGGCGCACCGCTCAGCGTGAAAGTGACACGCATAGGCTATGAGAGCTGTTAACGGACAACGTTAGTACGAGAATATGCATACATAAGCCACTTACCCTTGTGTCAAAGGTAAATCAATCTGAAAACTACACATACAGCGATAGACAATGGCAGAGGTGCAATTGGGCATGGTGTCTAACAACCCGCTTTAATCTGATCGAGCAAGCACCTGTGGCATTGCGACATGTACAACAATGACAACACCAGGCGAGAGGGGAAGCCAGGCATCTCGTTTGGAAGCTGAAACGGTGGCAAACGCAATGACATGGAGCCAAAGTCGAAGCCCAAGCTAGTTACGACGTTTGAAACGGCGCGGAGGCAAAAACCATTGGCTTCATGCTCTAAAATTGCTCAGCCAAACCGAAGCGAGTGGTTTCAAACTTTGCACACCCGAAGCCGAGAAAGAAGTCTGTGGCTTCGAACTTAGAAAACACCAAGCCAAAGCCAAATATATAGACTCAAAATCACGGCGCGGAACTCGAAGGCCAAATCTAGTATACAACGGGCTTTGCATAACCCAGACCATTTTCGGGCCTGCTTAAACTGTATGGGACCAGAAAATAGATCGGTTTTGCGGAGCGACTGGAACGCTGTGTAATCATGACGCATGGTAACCTTTCGCGTTATCGTACTCGTCTTATTCGCCAACATTTGCACAACGTTTTGAGCAATAATGAACGGCTGCTTTCGGCTTTGAACCATGCATGCGCCGCAGGCGCGCTCTCAGAGTCTTGGCAAGGAGGAAGCACAGGGTTGATGAATGGCCCCTGATAGTGAAAGCCCCCCCCCCCCCAAAAAAAAATCGCCGGGCATGGCCAATGTTGCATGACGATATACTTTTCCTTTACTTTTTCACTTTTACCTTCCACAACTGGAATACAAGCCAGAAGCTAAAGCGAAATCCATTCCACCTCAATTTTTGTCAGTAAACTGGAGAAATCACGCGTTAAACGACCGTATGAAATAAATCGCTGACGCTCTCCATTTTCAAAGAGCCCAGTAGACTCTTTCTAATCTAAGAGAACTTCAAAGCTTTGTCAGAATTTGTATATGAGTTCTGCAGAGATATCAAGGACCCCGCGAATTTAGGCTATAGATCGAAATGGGTCAACAATTTGTGTTAGCATGGCCAAGCTATGTTTGTCTGGGAATATGAACATTCAGTCATAAGCGATTAGTGATACCAAGTACGTAACGTAGTTTTGAACATGCGCGCTCACAAATCTCTGAAACAAAGGCCCCGACGCCAGGTGTTCCAGTCGCCATGGGTCGCGCAGCGCCGGCCCCACAGCTAACACTAAGCTGTGGCCAACGGATGGACGAAAATGATGACGCAACCAGAAGAAGTACCTTTTGGACGCTTTAGGACATCAAATCTTACATTTAGAAGGTACCCTGGGTGTGTATTTCACCTGGGACCTTTTGGACGCTTTAGGACATCAAATCTTACATTTAGAAGGTACCCTGGGTGTGTATTTCACCTGGGAAATTTTAGATTGACGACTAGAACTAATTGGCATCTACAGCACCGCGTAATGGCGCTGGAATCTGGCGGTGGAACTGAAAGTGTGGAACTGGTAGAGTGGAACTGGTAGAATCTCTATTTTCCGTATAGCTGTAACCGTCATCAGCCCAGAGGACAGCCTCGCAAATGTAGCGTACACCATACACCATACCCAAAATCCTTGGACGGCACGAATTCATTTTTTAATATATTCGCCGCCACCATTTCGCGGCGGTTTCGCGCACGCCGCTTCCGTCTGGCGCGACTTGTAGTGGCCAACGCCGTTGGGTTTTGCGGAAACTGCAACCCAGGCCATCGCTTTTTTTGCTCCCGAGATTGCAGGCGCACAGGCTAAAACCTTTTGATCTAATTTGCTTCACTCGTCGATTCTGCAAAATGATGAACGTTCGCAGGCAAATACGGGATGGCCTTGTTCGTTTTTGCACTCATTTCCACCCAATCTTTTCAACACTACTTAGACCCCTTATTTTTCGGGGGCAGGGTACGCCTTGTATAGAACACGGGGGGGGGGGGGGCACATTGTCAAGGGCTGAAGGGCCATTCTGTTCCACCATGGGGTATCTTCCGGTTGCCATTCGGCGACACGGGGAGGGACCCCATAGTCGATGCGGATGTTCTTAGAGGAATACACTTCATCACATTGGTCCCCTCCCTGACGCGGGACACCTTCTGACCCCGCGATTTGTCCGGGATCAACGCAGAAAACATTACTGACGCGAAAAGATCCTTGATAGGCGCAGATTGGCTCAATGACATGGCACAAAGCCCCAATTGGGCTTAAAACGCCCATGGTTGGAACTGCGTTGGAGGGCCCGCCGTTGAGGGCCCGCCGTTGGAGGGCCCGCGTGGGCCTTGACTGACGCAGGGCTCTTCCACTAGCTCAAAGTCAACTATAATACCAAATTGTCGTGTCTGCATTCACTGTCAGAAGGCCCCGTCCAACGCAAGAGGCCCTCTGGCATTCGGGGTCCAGTAACCGTTCCCTTTCAGTAAATGTTCCCTTTGCCGACTCAGGGTACTCTGTTCACACAGGACACCCTGTTGGACACTGTGGGTCCCTGACCAACGCAGAAGCCCGGCCTTGTTGCAGCGGCTCCGCCCAAGGTAAATCGCGGGCCCGGAATACACCGGCAAGTTAAACTATGGGGTCCCGGCTATAGCGCATAGAGCTTTTCGGGCAAATGAATAAAATCCGTGGAAGGCCCCTCATTGGCAAGAGTGCCCCGGCACCCTAGCAGGAAGGGTCCCGGCAACAGCGCAGCACCTTCCGAAAAGATGCAGAGAAAAAATCAGGGGAAGCTTAGAAGGCTCCTTAACGACCGGATTGACCTTGCAAGTGGACACATAGAGCCGCCGGAAACACCGTCAGGCCCCTGGACAGCGGAACGAGCCTTAAAAGCCCCAGCCACCATACACTGAATCAGTAAAGAGTCATATTTGTCTTCTTGTGGGACTTTCACTTTTGCTTTGCAGCTGTTTTTGGTCGCCTGGAAGCCCAAAGACATCCAATTTTGTTGTTTTATGCAAACAAAAAATCATCTGTTTGGCCGGCTGCAGACCTCTTCAGAGGCTATGGGCCCTTCAGGGTCCATGGAGGTGGGCATGATCATGTGCCTCCCCCCTCTGGATCTGCCCCTGCCTAACTCTCACCCTGGCAGCAGGCAGGGAGGATGAGCATTGTGAACAACTGAGTTGGTTGCCATTTCACAAAATCATACTCAGTGAGCATGGTAACTGATGATTTAGAAACAATGGTTAGAACTAGAAAATTGCTCCTCATGCTATACTTACCAAGGATAAAGGATAAAAGCAATGAAGCTTATATGAAATTCACAATATGAATCTGGAGGTTTCCAAAAAAGATTCAACTGCATGTATGCAGTACAGACAGGAATAGAAAATTACATGCATATTACATATATACAAACTAGGTTAATTCACTGTTTACAAAGACTCTGACATAATTAATGACATAACTAAACATAATTTATGGCACGTTCTACAAACACAAGTACCTGCTGATATATATACATATATATATATATATATATATATATATATATATATATATATGTATATATAATCATGTTGCAACACCTTCTAGATTGTATGACCTATGATGCAGCCAATCATTATTCACAGCAGTATATTTTTTGTAAAACCTTGATCTCATCCATGTTTTATCCTACAGAAATGGCTTATAGCTCTGGTATACTGACATTGCTACATAAAATTATAATAGCAGCTGTGCACTATGACAAGGCCACCAGTGGCAGAGGATAATTCATAGCTGCTGTGCATGGGTGAAGAATTTGAATATCGCCCCTGTCCTCAAAACCAAGGGATCCAAACAATTTGAATATGGCATCAGAGGCACAGCCAAGAGGAAGGCCTGGGGGCCTGGCCCAACTACAGTGATGACCTGCTTTGGCACTATAGATACTTCCTGATGGATATATATCAACAAACACTCAAGGGTGGACATTACCTCAGATCTGCCACCCATGCGGAGACACGAGAGTTTCTCACTCCTGCCTCAAACTGATCCTCTGATGGTCTGATCAGGGTGTTAAATATTTTAAGAACAATCTAATGCACATCTACCAACTTCTACTTAACCCCACTTTCCTATGCTCCAAAGGGCCAAAATCACACTGGATTTATCCTCTAATATTTTGCATGATATCTTTTGAGCACCTATATACTATATTTTCCCAACCCTTAAATTTTGAAGATAATTCTCTGAATACAGGTATTGTGCAAGCAGCTGGATGCATGAGTACACATGACCATATGGCAGCATCTCAGATAACCATGATGCAGTTGAAAAAATATGGCACATCAGGTTATTGGGCTGCCTGTACCTTCATGAACTGCTGTTGCTTGTTACACACATCTGTAGTTTCATAGCTTCACCTAGTGTGTGCCCCAGTTCAGAACTTGTCACAAGGTACTGTGAGCTGCCCCAAAAGAAAACAGATTGTTCAAGTAAAAAAGTTATGATGAAAAAACTCAAAACCATGCCCAAACTAATGTTTTCAAAATTTCTCACCCAGGCCTGCCCTTCCATCCCCCCCCAAAAAATTGCCAAATTCTGCAGTACTTCACAGACAACATCCCGGTAGCACTCTCCCTGGACAGGATGGACAGCTTTAAAGGCAAGAAGCAACTGGCTAACACAACTTTAAGGATGTGTTGCATACATGTACCAATTCCACAGAATGTATGACATGAGAGTTATTATACCAATGAAAGGTTTGTCTGGGTGCAGACAATTAGTTACATTCTGGAAAGCCACAAGGCAATTACTTATCCAACAGGAATTGATTCAGGTGAAATTGTTCGAAAATAACAGCATCAACATATTACGGAGCTAACCATGAAAATGTGAGGCAATGGTGTTCTTCAAACATTTTCACCTTGTGAGGATTCACCCAGTAACATTTCGTGAAAACGGCTAAAATCCCAAAGTCATGCATGCTGCCAATCCTTACCTCTTGTCTCAAGAGATGGTTTTTGTGTCACTGGAAGGGAAAAACACTAGGAAATCAACATACATAACGCGCTACACCCTAAACAAATCCAATATCCCCCTGCTGTCTATGTGCGATGAAGCGTAGCCCCTTGATTGGAACTGTTGCGCCACGTTGTAAAACAATCTGGTAGCGGTACCATATGGTACCAATTGTAATGACTTCGTTTTCTGTGCTCGGGTGCCATGCAGGTTGACATGATCGAAGATGTGCTGGGATGTTTTCAGGGGGGGGGGGGGGGAAGGCATCAGAGAACGCGGCGTCATTTCAAATTTTTACATCCAACGTTTTAAAAAATCCGGTACTTTCGTAAAACGCTGGATAGATTTTCAAGCCTTTAATACAAACACTAATAACTTGGCGTTTACACGCAGGTGGCCTAATTTGATTTCGGGGAGACTTTTGAGTTCTGAACCATTCCGCAGTCTAAAGAACTGCAAGTGCCAAACAACCCGGCATTTTTTCTGACATGAACTGCCGCATTTCATTCGACCGCATTTAATAAAAATTCGTTTCCTTGCCATTTGTAGCCTTGGCTTGTAGTAGTGGCGACGGGCGTTTTGTGGAGATGACTGGGGAAAAATGAGTTACATCTCGTTTCTGTCCATGCGACACCATCGCGTTAACTTTAAATGTTGCCTGGAGTGGGAGGGGGGGGGGAGGGGCGCATCCGCTCCCTGTCCGCCTAATTAAATCCGCCACCCCGTTTGGGTTCGTAGCTTGAATTCAGCTCCTAGACCAATTCTGCCTGCATTCCAACCCAAGGCATAGTTCGTATCCTGTATGTGGCTATTAACAAGGTATGATCATTGAGTGATCGCCCTCGCGGGATGCAACATGGGAGCACTCGTGACCTTACAGCTAACAACCGGCTCATCTTCACATGGTTGGGCCGTGCCATATGGTCATAATATGGCCAAAACAATTGTTTGTGTATGTCCCGTCACAGGGGTCATTTAGCCCCCGGGCTGATGGCGTCAGCCTGGTCACCGGGCAGCTGACAGCCATGTAATTACATGACACGGAAAAGCTCATTTCGTGTTATTTGTATAAGGGATCGAGGCAAAACGGGTACGTTGAACGTGCATTACAATAATAGCACTGTGACCTTGGAGTGTTAGTGATAAATTATGTTCAGTACGGAATAAGATTAGAATCTGTCGCGGCAAAACTTTTGTTTTCCGTATTATTTCTCATTTCGTGTCGCAGCTGGACCAATATATGAACTTACGATGCCGCATCAAATTGTGTCGCCCAACTTTGTTTTTTCTTGATACCTTCTGACAAAGCAATTTGAGGTACATCTTCAAGCAGAGCAATGTTAGGTTCGTTGCCCATAATGGGTAGAAAACCAAATGACATGTGGGAAAAAAGAGCTCACGAGACGGGGGAACCAATGACGTCAACACCATGTGCGGGTTTTGGGGAGAAAAAACGTCGCGGCTTATGCGTGATGACAAAAAAATCAAATATATTTATATTGATTCGCCCTAATGTCTAAAGTAACCTTTCATTTAAGGAAAAGATTTGAAGGCTGCAGTGCCAAGTCATCCCGCTGCATCTTCCATGGCGAGACCGCTACGAGGAAGGATAAAAAATATAGCCTTTGTGTAATGGTGAACTTTTTTCTATCCCTTCGCAATTTTCCAGACAAAAATATTGGGAGGGGTGGATGGCCCAGGCCAACATTGGAGGGGGAGGGCAACTCAACATTGCGGGGGCCGGGGCCTTAACAAAAGAATGCAAATCGGCACTTATGAGAGCTGCTCCTCTGCTGGATGCCATTGAAGGCAAGAGTTTTTAAGGCATCTCGTTCGACATCTGTGATGTTCATAGGAATGCATCAGCCGAAATAACGTTCTTGTCACTATAAAGAAGACTGGCTTTAAAATTCATTTCACGAACACTGATGTTGAAGCAACTGCGATATTCGTGTTCATGAAATCCGAGACCCAGTATGATTGAGAGACTGAGACCGATGGCCGCCGTGACCACGAAAATGAACTCATGAATAGATCAACGGAAATATAGTAGATAAAGAATAAAGGAATTAATGAACCAAACGCCATTATGCTCACTGACACTAAGCTAAGCCCCCAGGATATAAAACACGTTATCGTCTATGTATTTGGGCATCGAAGTTCTTCATGTTATAAAGAGATGTCACCATGATATTACAAATCATGTTACATTTCAAGATGTTTACTTAAAGTGACATATATTCATTCAACGGAGATTTTCGCACACCTCAGGCGCACAACACAAACTTGATAACAAGCACGAATATTGTGGTCCTAGCACATGCATTTCCTACGCGACAGTTGCAACAAACACGTCCCCGCCGTTATTTTTGCGGCACATTTTGTGTATTGATATGAAGTAGTTTGCTTCCAGCCTCAGCCCCATACAAGTATGAGCCAACGTAAATGGTTCATTACGACCTGTTGACCATAATTTAGTACTGTTGAGGATTGTTGATCCAGGCCATGTTGTTGATCACGATTGCTCTTGCCTTGACGTAGTTGAACTGAAAAATAAAGTGCGGCACCAAATTCAGGCAAAAAAGTTTGCATGCCGCCAGCAATCCACGCAAAAATCGCAACTTAAACGAAGCAGGGCTGTTGTACACGGTAGCGCTGTGCCACACATCCAAGGACCAAAAAAAAAGTTGGAGAAGGTTGTGTAATCTGGGCAAATAGCCTGGCGCCCAAACCCCGTAACTGGATCTGTTAATGCAGCCGGATGTTTACTGCCACATAGATATAAGATATATGTGTTTGCTAAATAGAGCAATGCACCTTCCATCACAAGAACACCTCTGCCCCAGTAATAAAAAGTCACGTTTGCTCTCACCAACAGATACAAATAATAGCTGCTGAGCAGGTACCCGATGCAATAAACTTTGCACACCCTGGGCCATAAGATGCGCAAACGTTTGAGAGGTCAAATACTGCTGAAAGCTTCGGAGCACGGGAATAACCCAAGCCATTCAATACTAGCCCCATCCTCGACCCCACACAACCAAAGATGCGTGCCGCCGTTCGTGGCCTCCATGGAGGAGTGCCTTGGGTGCCCTGAGGTGGGCTCTAGAAAGACGTCTTCACTTTCTGATCACAAGCAGCACGCACTTCCCGTGCCCCCCCCCCCCTCTCTCTCCCTCTCCCTCTCTCTCTCTCTCTCTCTTCTAGACCGGCCACTGTACGACTTCTTTTGTCCTTAAATATAGCACTATTTGTTAATGATACAAAAATACAGGGTATGAATAGTTTCTCGTCAAAATAAAGTGGGCTAGGTCCGTTGAAAAAGTAAGGGGAGGGCAGGTCGACGGGCTCTCGGTTCGGCCACACCAATCATTTGCAAAAATTGGCATCCCTGGCTGTTCTCGCGAGCAAAACAACTTAGCGAGGCATGCGGCTTTACTAAGTAATTTTTCTCCTATTTAACACTCCATAATACTGGAGGTGCAGAGCTATTATCAATTTTTCAGCCTTTCTGTGATTAGCTCATAAGCCACTTACTGCCCCCAAGCGCGCGATTTTTAAGCCTTTCGTGAAGGCATCAAGACCCTTCGAAACGCATACGTGATGAACTTTTTGCTAATGTCTTGAGAGCCCAGGCTCTCTGCCACCGTTACAGAGCGGCTCACGAACGGTCACAAGTATGAACATGCACGCTTTGCTTTTAAGAAACGCCCCTGGAAATATGACTGGCCGCAGCAGGACCGCGGCAATGACAAAATGTCGGCTTGCGGAGGATGGCGGCAGGATTATGGCAGACTTGGCCACTAGACACGTGCCTGGATCCCAAGGAAGGCCCTAAGATCCCCTAGGGCTTCACGTTTAGGGGATCCTGGGATCTTTTGTCGGGCTCCAGGCGCACGTTCGCTTGCCACCTCACCAGGATGTTCCTTACACGGCTGATTTTTATCAGCGTAACTCGCATTTGAAGAGGGGTTGCCGCTTATTGCCACACCTGCGCTGTGGGAGTGCTTTCGTTGGAAGGAGAGACGGTTGCGTCTGATCTTACCTAACACAGTCTTACTTCCTTCCAACACTCCCATGACGCGACCGCCCTGGCATGAAGAGCATTAGGCACACCTTATTTGAACTATCTTTGCGACAGCCATTGGCCTTAGCCTAGTCATACCTGTCCATATAAGACACCGCCGCCAATCTACTCGCAGCATTCATGTTTCACCGAACGCTTTAGTGATTGTTCAGCACTCGCATCTGATCACGTGCGCATCGACTAGAAACAAATCCATATTTCGCGAGCGAGGCTGCCACATGTCTGGTTTCCGAGGTCAGTAACTATCTGCCAACGCGCGGGCTCGGGACCCATTCGCAGATTTTGGGATCCGGGTCATGACTCATGGCCGTTCCAACTTTTTAAAATTCAGCTCAGTTCAGACCCACTGCTTATATTGAATCATTTAACTCTGACTCACGCAGCCAGCAAAATCAAAGATCCGATTCGGTTCTGGTTCGTAGCCTTATGACCCAGTCAAATATATACATATATGTGTATATATATATATATATATATATATATATATATATATATATATATATATATATATATACATGTGTGTGAAAAACAGGTATGAAAAGCGTACAAGCAAGTTTGCACTTTGAATCCGGTGCAAGAAACAATACCTTTCCTGTAGCCTGTTACCACCCACCTCTCTAAAGTCTCAGCTTTAGACTACCACGATCTACCTGGCACCTACGACCAGACCCACTGGTTACGTAGCATGCACCAGCATGTTACCAGCCAGCTCTCTAAAGTCTCAGCTTTAGACTACCACATTCTACCTGGCACTTACGACCTAGACCCACTGGTTGCGTAGCATGCGCCAGCATGTCACCAACCAGCTCTCTAAACTCTCAGCTTTAGACTACCACATTCTGCCTGGCACCTACGACCTAGACCCACTGGTTACGTAGCATGCAATGTGGACTAGACTGCACCAAACCTGACAGCTGGCAGTCTGTACCTGCCAAGTGCCAGACAAATGCGCTCACACGTAGGCAACCACATGTCCACTAGCCAGCAAT